CTGCCATATTCGTTTTCAGGAGCCAAAAATACATCAAAGACACGTGGTCGTTTGTATGATTTCGAATATGCAGTTCATCCGAAGGTTTACCAACTAAATAAAATAATAGATACATTTACTATTACATATGAAATAATTTATATACATTACTGAAATAAAGAATATATTTAAAAATAATAGGATTTGGGAATAATTATACAAAAAATTCATTACGATAAAAAACATTTTATTTGGCCCTGTGCTTTTCATCCTTTACATTACTAGATTTCTCTAGAACTCACTAGTACTGTAGTGCGCATGCGCTAAAAAGGCGGCATACCTAACAACACTTGGTCAGTGGCCACCATGTTGTCCTATCCCTTCTATCATGTATATGACGATATGACACGTATGTCGGTTCTCTCTTTACCTATATGGATCTAAATGTCAGTAAATTTTGACAGGCCCTTATTTATGCGTGTTTTTCTCAGTTCTGATTTTAGGTATGTACCTAATTCAGTGTTTGTAAACGTCTCATATCAGGCTTCGATTTGAAATATTTGAATAATGCATACAATGTGCTTGGATGTAGATACCTAACCTTACACTTTATCTGCTTTTTCTTCATGCATAGAATTATTTGCGGAAAAATTATTGATGTTATCAAAATTTTTTGATCATTTTCGCAGATTGTAGGGTAATCTTCTTCTCAGTACAGCGTTACAAACATCTAAGAAAATGAGCACGATAACCGAGCAACCATGCTACACTTTGATAAACATCCCTACCGACACAGAACCACTCAATGAACTCCAGTTAAAACAGGATCTTGAGAAGGGTAGTGTCCAGTCGAAAATTGATGCGCTCAAGAAAACGATTCACATGATCTTAAGTGGTGAACGATTACCAGGACTCCTAATGACAATCATTAGGTTCGTTCTGCCTCTGCAGAATCATACCATCAAGAAACTGCTGCTGATATTTTGGGAGATTGTGCCAAAAACCTCTGCTGATGGCAAGCTGTTGCAAGAAATGATCCTAGTATGTGACGCATATAGGAAAGACTTGCAGCATCCCAATGAATTTGTCAGAGGGTCCACTCTCAGGTAAGGATATAAATGAGTGTATGTCAAGTTATAGATATCATTGTATATAGTAAATATTAACCCATAACAGGAATATATAGATCTAGACTGTAGTATTTCAATTCTGTAACTCTTAACGACAATATCGATATTATCCCAATATACAAATTGATAGCAAATTATTATCAAGTTGACATCAAACTTGTCCAGATTTAGTGATAAATCTGAAGCCATCTATATCAGCAATAAACGCATTTGTTAGCAAAACTGTATATAACCAGATAGTAAAACTTAAATATTTTAGTCAGTTTTCATCATTAATTTGCTATTGGCAAGCTTTGCATGGTTTTGCCAATAATTTGTTCTCGTCAGCAGATTTTGTTATATATGTACCATCAATGCTGACATTGGATATAACAGAATTTAAGTTAAATTTGGTGCCTTTTTGTAAAATTTATACACAATAGGAATCTTATTAAATCATATATGCAGGAACAACCAGTAAGAAATAGGAATAGCCATAATGATCGAAGCCGGATCTTTGATGCTTAAATAATTCGATGTGAATTTATATACACTATATGTACATACATATATTTGTAGTCATTTTGAACTGTTCGCCAAAATTTTATCGGACTTAAAAATGCAGCTAAACTACTGAAATAATATCATAATTAAATTTTGATGTTCAAGAGGCATCTATTAAAGAACTCTTAATATACTGGAAATCTGTAAATATTAAAAATCTGTAAAACTCTATAAAAATTTATGGATTCGGGGTACTGGTGTGATGAAAAATATCCTGGGATATTTTTTTAATTTTGAAATAGTATAATGATTTGGAATAATTTGGTTTTACAATCTTATTGTTTACAGTTTTGTTTTATTTATATGGCTTAATTATCATACTATATATTTATGCTAAGAGTTTAAGTATATTGCAATTTTTTATATAGTTGAAAATTTTAAAACTTCTGTATATGACATTAATAGTATAAAGCTTTACAAAAAATTTATTTTAGAATTAAAAGAAAAAGAGAGGTTTTTCCATTGAAAAGATACTATTTCCTGAAAAAAATATCTGTGTGTGTTTAAATCTAACAAGATTTGAAAGTAATAAATTAATATTTTATTTAGTTTTTCAATTAGTCTCTTATACTACAGATTAAGAATATACAATTGAACTTGAAAATTTTTTAAAGAAAATAAAACTAATAACATACAAAAAATTTAGAATTTTTGAGAACCTATGTTCCTTTGCAATGGCATAAAAAATATGTGTTCTTGTTATGGATTAAATTTGCAGATTTTTGTGCAAATTGAAGGAGCCAGAACTTCTAGAGCCACTGATGCCGGCAATAACCGCTTGTCTGGAGCACAGACATTCTTATGTCCGACGTAACGCAGTACTCGCTATTTTTACTATATACAGAAATTTTGAATTTCTCATACCAGACGCTCCAGATTTAATTGCAAAGTATCTAGAAGGGGAACAAGACATGTCATGTAGAAGAAATGCATTCTTGATGTTGCTGCACGCCGATCAGAGTAAAGCTCTCGCATATTTAGCTGCATGTCTCGATCAAGTGCCGAGTTTTGGTGATATACTACAGTTGGTCATTGTTGAATTAATATATAAGGTATAAATAAATGTGTTATATTTAATGCACGAGTCCATATATTTGTCTATTATTGATATTTATTGATATAATTTTTTTCGTCTAGGTTTGTCTTGCAAATCCATCGGAAAGAGCACGTTTTATCAGATGTATTTACAGTTTGCTAAATTCACCTAGCGCTGCTGTACGTTACGAAGCAGCCGGCACGTTGGTGACTCTTTCTAGTGCGCCAACCGCGATCAAAGCTGCAGCTTCTTGCTACATCGAATTGGTTGTCAAGGAGAGTGACAACAATGTGAAACTTATCGTACTGGATCGGCTAATTGCGATGAAAGACAGTCCTGTATACGAAAGAGTACTTCAAGATCTTGTAATGGATATACTCCGCGTTTTAGGTATTATATTAATAATCACATGATACTTTTTCGAATTTTTACATATTATTAACAACAATATTATTATTATTGGTATCTATTTTCAACAGGATCACCAGCCTTAGAAGTCAGGACAAAAACCTTAGCTCTAGCCATGGATTTGGTTACAACTCGCACAATCGAAGAAATGGTCCAACTTTTGAAGAAGGAAGTTCTTAGGACAGCTGGTGGAGAGCATGAGGATGCTGGCAGATATCGCCAGCTCTTGATACGTACTCTCCATACATGTTCCATGAAATTCGCGGATGTTGCTGTTACCGTCATTCCTGTTTTGACCGATTTTCTATCGGAAAGTAACGAAGCAGCTGCTACGGATCTTCTTGTATTTATTCGTGAAGCTATTCAAAGATTCGAGAATCTCAGACCATTGATTGTCGAGAAATTGTTGGAAGTGTGTATGCAATAGTTTACTATAAAAAAAATATGATTGGCAAAACTACCAAAAATTAATTTTGATTTTGATAAATTAGGTATACCCTCACATACGATCCGTAAAAGTACACAGAGCCGCACTTTGGATACTCGGCGAATATGCTACATCAAAAGAAGACATAGAAGCTGTGATGAGTCGTATACGAGCAGCATTAGGCGAGTCGCCATTACTCGAGGCAGAAAACAAACGTCAAGCTGGCGAAAAGTCTGAAGATGGTAATTCGCAGGCTGCACCTGCGCAACTCGTAACATCTGATGGAACTTACGCGACTCAAAGTGCTTTCAGTGCTGCATCTTCACGTAAGTAACTTATTTTTACATAAAATATTCTTCATTTGCTACAACTTAAGAAATGAAGTTTTTTTTTTAGAAAATAAATTTGAATGTTTTGAATGGGTGCGTTCAAGTTGACAAAGCGGCTAGCCTGCTCGCCAAGCAAATGAACATGATTGATTGTCGCTTATAGATCTAACCAATCACATTCAATCGCTCGGCGAGCAGGCTAGCTGCTTTGTCCGGCTTGAATGCGCCCTATGATTAAAATTTTATAATATTAATTTTAAATACGATTTTAAATAACCACAAAACGGAATGCATCCATTGTGTGCTATTATATATACGTTTGAATTAATAGGGAAAAAGGAAAAGAAGCGACCGACATTATTGCAATATATGATGGAAGGCGATTTTTTTATTGGTGCGTCCTTGGCTACCACATTGGCAAAATTAGCTCTCCGCTATAAGATACTTGAGACCGACATCCAAAAAAGCAATAGATTGCAGGCAGAAGCAATGTTTGTAATGACCAGTGTATTGCAATTGGGCCGTTCAGGTATTCCCTGCAAAGCAATGACACACGACGACGCGGAGAGAGTTTCCTTGTGCCTCAGATCTCTTGCTTGTCCAACACCTCTTGTACAAAAGGTCTTCACCGAAGGATGTCGCGATGCACTCGGTAGAATGTTAACTGCAAAGGCGGAAGAGGACTCGCAAAATCAGAAGGCCAAGGAAAAACCGGGCAGTATTGTCCAAGTCGATGACGCAATTCAATTCTTGCAATTGAGCCGAGGATCCGATCTGGCTGGTGGGGCTGATGATATGTTCGAACAAAGTCTCAGCGCAGCTGTAGCAGGACGACCTGGCACCAGCGGAGACACTCCGAGTGCCTTGAGCAAAGTCATTCAACTCACTGGTTTCTCGGATCCAGTTTATGCGGAGGCCTTGGTGCATGTTAATCAATATGACATCGTGCTGGACGTGCTGATAGTCAATCAAACAGAAGACACTTTGCAGAATTGTACATTGGAATTGGCTACTTTGGGTGATTTGAAGCTAGTGGAGAGACCGCAACCTGTTGTACTTGCGCCTAGGGATTTCGCTAGTATCAAAGCAAATGTGAAAGTCACATCTACGGAGAACGGAATTATTTTTGGAAATATTGGTGAGTGTGAAATTTATATACTTTTGAAAAATTATAACAAATTGTTGCCTGTTTCAAAAGATAAAAATTGCACAGTTATTCTTTTTTATTTGCAGTTTATGATGTATCAGGAGCAGGCTCTGACAGAAGCGTAGTTGTTCTTAACGATATACATATCGATATCATGGATTATATAGTGCCTGCGACGTGCACTGACACGGAATTCCGCCAAATGTGGGCCGAATTTGAATGGGAGAACAAAGTCTCTGTCAATACGACTCTGTCTGACTTGAGAGAGTATCTTGCACATTTGTTGAAATCCACAAATATGCGTTGTCTTACGCCGGAAAAGGTATATTTAATTTTTTATTAGATTAATTTTGTATTAAAATAGCATTGCTATTTTCAAAATCGTTATTTTCTTTACAGGCTCTTTCAGGACAATGTGGATTTATGGCTGCAAATATGTATGCTAAATCGATATTCGGCGAGGATGCATTGGCGAATTTATCCATCGAGAAACCACTGAACAAACCTGACGCGCCAGTGGTCGGTCATATTCGTATTAGAGCCAAGAGCCAAGGTATGGCTTTATCCTTAGGCGATAAGATTAATTCAGCGCAGAAGGATCCGCTGACCAAAGTCGTGCAAGTTGCTTAAATTGCATCATTTTGACAAAATGCTCTGCACGAGTTGAGTCTTCGGTTGAGTCTTCGAATCAGATGACTACTTTTATGGAATTTATAGAATTTTAAATATTATTAAATAAATTTTGCATATTTATGGCATTTAAACTATTATTTAGACAACACAAACATCCTTATCTTTTATAGATATCCTTTTAGACTCGTATTATTTGTCAATTGAAATACATTGAACTTGTTCAGATGAATCGCAGTTATAATAGGATAATATATGCCCATGTTAATTAATATCATATAATTATATTATATCTACAAACTTATCATAAGCATGCAATTAGTAGCGCCGTACACAGGGATAGAATGTATTCATAGACAAGAGAATAAATATATCCAATACTTTATCTATGTAAGTTCTGTTCCTTTATTTCTCTTTACAAATACAAATATTGATAAATATGTAAGAATATTTATAATATATCTGTATCTTTTCAAATAAAATAATTTAATGAAAATGCTTTTACAATCTTCTCTAGAAGTAATTCCTCGTATTATGACTTTAAAATTTCGAGAAAGATTTGGGATGATGTTTCTAAATTTTCGACACACAAGATATAAAACGTAGATTTTCATATTAACTATAATTGTGAGAATCTTATTCTTCTAGTCGTCTCTTCCGAAATGATTACTCCTTGTTTTAAAGCCATCCTCTCAACGATTTATTACGCGATGTAATGCCTACGAGTTTCTCTCGGTCATCATTTTTACTACCGTCTGAGCTTGAGGTAACTGTTAATGACGGGATAATCGGAAGTTTAGGACTATGTGAAACTTTCGACCGTGCTCTGATCGAACTGCTTCCGTCTTTAATGTTGATTGAAGGTACACTCATAGAGGTAATAGCGGGTTTGCTTTGATTTTCCATAGGAGAGCTAGAAGTCTTTGCAGCAACAGAAATGGTAGCAGTAACGGTGGATTTTGCAGTAGTAGAAGTAGCAACAAGTTTGGCAGCAGCAGCAGCAGTAGCAGCAGTAGTAGTAGCAGTAGTAGTAGTAGTAGTAGTAATAGTAGTAGTGGTAATAGTGATGGGCTTGGCATAAGTAGTTGCAGTTTTCATAGTGACAGGCGTAATTATTGTAGCAGTAGTCACGGCAGTCATGAGTGCTGTATCGGTTGCGGAAGTTGCAGTCATAACGGATATTATAGGGGAAGTAGCACTCGTTGACGTTGAAGATTGAGTAGTCGTGGATTGAGCAGAAGTTGATTGACCTGAAGAAATAACAGAATACTATTAGCAATAAATATCATAAATAAAGTAATCTCACCAACTAACATAACTGTTAGTTATAATTTCTCACTCAATAATATAACTATGATATAACACATGTACGTAACAGTTATACTGTTACACATGTACGTATCAGTGATACATGTATGTATCAGTTGATATTTGCTGGCATGTTATATGATTAAATTAAATATTAAGTATTACTTTATAAGGGAATGTAATTTTTCAACTGAACATTTTCTGTTTTTATGATGAATATGAGTAATGAAAATACAGTTTATATATATATATATATATAATATAGTTTATATTTAAATATAAATAAGTTAAATAATTGTGATTGAGTACCAAGTTGAGTAGGTGCCTTCCTCTTGATTACTCGCGGTGGTGATGAACGAAGTGGTAATAACGGCGCAGTGGTCTTCGTCGTTTTTTCATCAACAAAATCGACCGAGGATTTGGTCTAAAACATAGTATAAAACATTTTTGGATAAAATTTCATATTAAGGGCGATTATCTTACCGATTTCAGTGACCATGACATTATATATGAGTGATCTCCAGTAGGTGTTAACTTTATTTGTTAGTAACTTTTTAATAAATATAAGCGACGGCTAAAACCTGTATCAAGATCGTTGAAATCACCCTTATGATGCTTTACTTTTATATTATTATTTAGAACCTCTATTAAATTGTCTAATAAATTAATAAATTATTAAATGTTTAATAAATTATTTTACGTTCATCAGAACGCTTTTACATATACTGTTAATTATTGATTTAATACCTGAACAATTAATTCAAACGGTTGGGAACCAATGCCGTTTCTGATCGGGGGGGGTTCTAGAGTTCTGTCTTTTCCTGATGTTTTAACACCGCTATCGCCGTCAACTATTTCGTGTAGCACATGTAGTATCGTCGCTGCGGTAGTTTTTGGCAATTCAACCGGCACATCTGGTGGTAGTGGGCTCTTTTGCGTCAAACGTTTTGCTTCCTCCATGGCTTTCTTTAAACTCTGCTGATTTTGCAGCGACGTTTTGCTGCAGCTTTTACCGATTTGAGAGCTTTTAACTGCATTTTTCACGACCTTAAAAAATCATGACAAGAAGTTACTACTACCGATTTTTTAATGAAATAATAAGTAAAGATCGTACTTGACTCCAACGATGTTCAGCCGAAGTTAATACGGCTAATCTGGCGATTCTCTTCCATCTCTCAACGTTGTTCTCGTCTTCAGGTTGTTGAAGAGCTATCTCTTCTTGAAGGTCGACATCACTTGGATTTACAGGACCTGCTACTTGGAAGTCTTTCATGAGTCTCCTCTCCCAAACCTTCATCTTCTTACCCAGTATAGCTAGTTTAAAAAAAAACAGTCAATATGAATTGTAATATAATCCTTGATGAGCATATATTTTGCGTTAAGCTTATATCTTGTTTGTTATTTGCTAAAATGCTTACTCTTTTCTTTTTTATCGATGCCACCGATGTCCATGCCATTTCTATGCAAGATGTCCAGCAGTTCGCATCTCCATGATGATAAATCAGATTTAAGTTCGTGAACATCATCTTCAGTGACAGGTTCCATTTCGTGCTCGCTGTGTGCATTCACAACGTAGCGCCATATCAAAGCTCTCATGACTGCACCGTATCTATATAATTGATGGAAAACATGTATAACTCACGCTATTATTATGCTATCATAGCCTATCGTCTGCAGAACAATAATAATTAAAATATTGAAGAGTTATTTAACATTAACTACGAAAATTAATTAAACCCTAGTAAAAAAATTCTTTCATAACATCTCATAATATTTTTAAAAATTTGGTATATTTTAAATTTAGGAAATTTTGTAAAAAAGTATCTTGAACTTTTTTAGATTTTATAATTTTTCTTCAATAATTATGGAATGAGACATAAAAATTCTACAAAATTCTAAGGAATATTTTTATCTGAGCGTTTAAAACTTTTATATTATATTATTATTTTATTTTCGAGCCAAGCATTTCAAAGACAATTTACTTATATTCGCGTGCACGTCGACGTTGACTACAGTGTCTACCGATACGTTTCTTCTGCAGGCCGAACAATCGGAAAAGTAATTTCGGTGGTGGGAAGATATTGAAGGGTGGCGGAAGAGTTCCGCTGTCCTCGAAGTAACTCATCCATAACTTTGTTCTCGCAAATTTCCATTCCGTGTCAGAATGTTCCTATTGTGACAATTCTTCTATTGACGAGATTATTAATTCACATTACAAATATCGTTCGAGTCGAAGCCTTACCTCAATAACAGTATAGCTGTTACTCATCATAGCTATCAATAGATTTAGCAGGACAATCACATTGATCACGGAATACGACCCAAACATCAACAAGCCCCAGAATCGAGTATATGACTTGATTCCTGAAAATAACAACGTAGACTAGAAAATAATAACGTACGTTACTTTCACTGATGACAATTAAGGCATCAATTTTAAGGAAAAGGTCCATTTTTATATTTGATATTTTTAGATATAGTTTTAAATTACACATGTAGACGTACCAGTGAGTTCAAAGCTTTCGATGCCAACCATACCGAAACTGGCCCAGAAAAGACTCTGACACGATTCGAACAGATTACTGAATCTGAAGAAATTTTGCACGAGGAATAATTAAAATATTTGTGGAACATTTGTATTATGTTAAAAAAATGTATTAGAAAATATATACATTAGAAAATTAAATTCAATTTTCATTTTTTCAAATCAAAGTCAAATTACAGTCATTTCGTTCTTCAAGAATAACGTACTTTAGAAATATATTGCACAAAACCAAGTATCTGAAGACATGGTAGTGTCTCGGTGCTAAGCCAAGCGCACACAGTAAAAAAATTTGTGTATCTGTGTTGGAAACGGTCCACTCACGTTTGTATTAACAGTTTGTGTTGAATTTTTTAACATATTCGAGTGTTACTTTAATATAATGTGATTATAATAATTGTTAATATGGCTCAATTAGAATAAATCAATAAATAAAAGAAGGGCAACGAGCCAATTATACTGTAAGATATTTAATAATCGTATATACAAACGTTTCGACACCGATCGGGTCATTTTCAATGTAAAACAACAAACACTCTTACATAATAATAAGATTGAAAGACCGCTAATGTTAAACATAATAATATTAAATTAAGAAGCGCCATAACGGTCAGAACGTTAAGATGTTGAACTATTGTAAATTCATTTAAATGAATTAATTTCAGAAATGATAATTGCGTGCCGATATGGTTGTCGGACTTTCAACGCAATCAAATCTGAAAATATTAATAATCCCCCCAAATTCCCCAACTTAAAAACTGTAATAAAACTTATTGCGAAAAATAATAAAAACTCTTACATAAGTTATCGGAAAATTCAGTCAAATTATAATGTCCAGTAAAAAGTTCGGTTGTATTCATAAAATGCGGTCCATATGTAAAAATATCAAAGGAGACCTCATCTCACTTTTCATAATTCTACAATCTTATATTGTCTTAGTGATGTAAGATAGACGCCGAGAGGAAAATGCAATGAACAAAGTTATATTTAATAAAAAATAAGCCATAATACAATTGGATGTAACATTTATACTCGACGATGTCAAGCGACGTTATGTCGCGTTTTCCTCTCGGCGTCTATCTTACATCATTAAGACAATATAAGATTGTAGAATTATGAAAAGTGAGATGAGATCTCCTTTGATATTTTTACATATGGACCGCATTTTATGAAAACAACCGAACTTTTTACTGGACATTATAATTTGACTGAATTTTCCGATAATTTATGTAAGAGTGTTTGTTGCTTTACATTGAAAATGACCCGATCGGTGTCGAA